TTATTAAATAACACTCAGGGAAAAATAAAAGGATCAAGTGAATAAGATACAGTAACGTGGCTTAGTCTCAATCATGCATACACCAGTTTGGTTCACTCAGAACACTTAACTTGAAGCACAGACCCTGAACCTATCAGTTCTGGCTAACCATACAGACACCTGAACCTATCAGGTTGGTACTGACTGACCCACAGCAGTACCCTGTCTGACACACAGACTCCCACTCAAGCTTCTTCTCTCAGCTCTCCTCCTCCAGCTTCTCCTCTTCTCCACACACGCTCCACATATATATACAGTACAGCCCCTCCTCCTGATGTCCCGCCTTCCACTCCCCATAGGATGGAACTTTCCCTCCAAACCATGACAGACAGGTAACATCAGTGCTGTATGTAACAGTGCCCATCTCTAATTTGAGCTATGTTTCACATAATGGCAACTGCATGGAGATTGGTATAACTACTGAACCAGACTGAACATGGTTCGTGCCCATCTTTAATTTGAGCTATGTTTCACATAATGGTAACTGCATGGAGATTGCTATAACTTGCTGTTTGCTTTCCTGGTTACTTGCCAGTCACACAACTTGTACCTGACCAGGAATGCAAGTAGCAACTTGTTAATCAGTAGCAATTCACCAAAGCAATTCACCAACACGGTTTACAGTCACACAACTTGTACCTGACCAGGAATGCAAGTAGCAAGCAATTCACCAACACGGTTTGTGCAAATTATACTTAACATAGGCAGAAACCCTAATGTAAGATTCTGGCCAACAATTTGATAATAAATTCATCTTTTAGTGTATTGAGGAATATTGTGACTCGATGGTTTGTGTACCTGCTCAGTCTGCTGTCCAAGTGCTAAATTTAAATGGACAACTCCAAGGTTCCTGGTCTCTCTCTTTATGCCTCTTTAGCTTTAAACCAAACTTGGACTGCATAGCTCATCAAACAGATGACCGACCTTTCTAAAGTAGCATCCTACCTATAATCCAAGGTTGCTCAAAACAAGAGTGTCCACAAGAATTTTTCCACTTGGGAGTCAGGGTGGAAAGCAGCATAGTGACATGTTAGTTCCCACATTGTCCAGCTGACATGTGAGCTTGCATACCCATAGATTTAGCCACATTGACTCTCCGTATTTAGTAGCAAAAGTTCTAAAGGCCCCAGACCCAAGAAGCATAAAGGTTCTGAATAACCACCCATTCTCCTAGATGCACAATTACTGTGCATAATGAACACCACTACAGCCCAGTGTATCTGTCGTGTGCGTTAACATAACAAATACATTTAAGATTTGGGGGATGGCAGTACGCAGGCACCCCTGGCTTGACACTAATGCAAGCCAAAATAAATCATGTTCTCTAAAGGTACGAGATCTAATAAGCATAAAGGTTATGCGGAACTACCTATTCCCGTCCTTCATCTGCATCCTTCTGGCATGTCTCAATACAACTGAGAATATATGTTGCCCGCATCATAATATAGGTGTGGATAGAATCTTGCTCTCTTTGGTTAAAAAATCCCTTAGGTTGAATAAAACAAAACAACAACAAACCACTCCATTGGGAGAGAAGATCCAGTCCAGCACACTCTTTAGAGTTCTTGTTTTCTATTGACTCTCCCATATATAGGGACATTCAAAAATGATATTGTCTACCTGAAATGGTGCATCCACTCTTCTGCTACAGATCTCTGTTACCACCTTATTTCCACCTTGTGCCACTGCTTGGGAAAATTGAATCTAAGATTTCTTTAATTAAGTTTCTGGAAAAGCAAAGATCTGGCACCATGGAATAGCTGAGGCCTAAACTAGACAATATAGTTAGCACTAGAGTTGCCAGCTATTAGGTTGCTGGCTGAAGTCTTAAAGAATTACTGCACATCTTTGGTTCTTTAGATGAGGAGATAAATCTAAGGGCAAACAGTGCTGGAGGAGATTTGTGTGAAGGTGTATGTTGGCTTTAAATCCAGTACTCTCTAAACCCATTTGCAGCTGGTGCTAGGGCTCACTGGCTTGGCAGGCATGTGTTTGTGTACAGTGGCTTCCACAATCTTGGTCCACCAAAAAGCTGAGAACAAGGGGAAGGGATTAGGGAGGATTCCAGTGAGTTCAGAAATTGCTGCCATCATAATATCTCAAGTAAGGGAGGAAAGTTGCTCCAGCACTGGGACTTGTGATCCATCTTGTTCCACAAGCTCTGGGAGCTGTGGTGCTGGGCCTGGGAGAAAATGTCATTTGTGCTGCATGTACATTTTATTTGGATTCCCTGCACGTCCCTTTTCACAGTACGTTGGCTCCAAAGTAGTTCTGCCCCAACTCTTGCTTGCCCTTCTTGGCTCCTGTGACATCACAGGGGCAACACTTCATGTGACACTGCAAGGGCCTGCCACTGTAACAGCCTGAGACTTTAAGAATGCCAATATGAGCAATTTTGTGAGTACTCATTACAGCCTTAGTGCCCACTCCCTGTAGCTTTTATAGAAGCCAGTAAATTCAGTCTTAGTTCGTCACTGGCAATGGGACAATGTTCTCTAGCACATACAGCTGAGTATCATTCTAGTTTGGGGGATCCAGGAGAACTTGCATGGCAGAGGGAATGGCTGTGGACTTCAGGACCACCGCCCAGTACAATGCAATGGCCTCGCTCACTCTGTCTAATGGTAGGGCCAGCCTTGCTAAGATTTTGTGGGACACAGTCAGAACTTGGATTGTTCTTCAGTTGCTTCTGCAGAGTACGTACACACACACACACACACACACACACACACACACACACACACACACACACACA